AGTCCTGAATACCTCCCAAACCAAGGTGCTATGCTTCTCACCAGGACTAAAGCAGGAAGTTATTTTTCCCCAATTACATTCCTTAAATAATTATCAAATAGAGCAAGTCAGGATCTATAAGTATCTTGGGGTCATCCTGGATTCAAAACTGAATTTTGAAGATCACATTGATTATATTGGTAAAAAGACAAAAATAAAAATTGGTTTTCTGTATCGACACAAGCACTGCTTCCCCCCAATGTTCCGTTTGGAATTGATAAAAGCTACCATACTACCTCTACTTGACTACTGTGACATCGTGTATAAATCAGCCCCAAGTACTGTACTGAAGAAGCTTGATTCCATCTGTCACTCGGCCTTAAGATTTATATTGAACTGCCCATATAGGACTCACCACTGTGATCTCTACATTGGGTCAAACTTAACATATCTTAATGTTCGACGGCTTGTGCACCAGATCTTATTTATTCACGATGTACTTACTAAAAAATCCGCAGACTACCTGCTGGTTCTCCTCTCTGTTTCAAATAACAAATTTGACCTCAGGTCTTCGCTCATTTACCAGCTTCACATTCCCTATTGCCGTACAAATACTGGAGGAAGGGCCTTTGCTATTGATGGCCCCAGGGTCTGGAATGCTATTGCCAATAAACTGCAACTTGAATCGCTACAAATGAGATCTTCTCTCAAAACTGCTCTCGAGGAGTTGTACACCCCTAGCTGCCACTGCTATTCATTGGCGTAAAATAAAATAAAATGTTTCGCTCCGGATGACGCTGCAAAGTATTATCTGTATTTTGATTTAGCGTGCTGATCTTAAAGGTGCATTGAAAAATGTGATACTCCGACTGATGCTTCTGTTGTTGTGGAGTAACTCATGCAGCCAGCTATGGCTCTAGGATTTGGTGTTACATGTTATTTATGTAGTTTATTGTAAAAATTCGGTCACAGTCCCTATGATCACTGTTACGTTGCAATTATGGCTTTATTTTTTGGTGATTTCGAAAACGTTTTTTGGTATGGACATGTTTCTTTTGTTGTAGTACGGAGTTAGACTGATGGCCTTAATCTAAGTTTTCTTGTGGTTGTTGTTGTGGTTGTTTGACTTCCATCCCACTGGGATTTTTTTGCACACAGCGTTGGTGTACGGTGCTTTTTTTCAGGAATATTTAGCTGTTTTTTTCATGGATTTTCTGTTTGCACAGTCACATAGAGACTTTAAGATGTTTTTCTTGTTCGTGTTTTTTTTGTTGTGGTTGCACCCGATTCAAGAGCCGAATTGCTCACAGGGCTATACCAAAATAAATGAACTGAACTGACCTGATTGACTAACTGCTGGGTGGACAAAAGTTGAGGATGTAATCAAGTAGCCCATTGTTTCAACTAGTGATGATAGATTTGAACCTTTGGAATGCAAATCTGTTGGCCTAACCCAGGGGTGGGCACATTTTTTGACTCGCGGGCCACAATGGGTTCTAAAATTTGACAGAGGGGCCGGGCCAGGAACAGATGGATGGTCAAAGTGTGCCATCTAATGGGGGAAATGGGGGCATTACAGGAGAAAGGTAAAAATAATAATATTTGGATAAGTTCGGCGGACCGGATTAAAAAGCCCAACGGGCCGTACTTTGCCCATGTCTGGCCTAACCGGTACGCAACAGCAGTATTCCCCTAGTCAAAGGTAATTGTAGGGATAAACTTCTGCATTAAACTAAAGTCTAGAAACAAATGGTAATTTAGGTGCCACTGGTTCTCGCCAGACACTCGACAGCCACGTTGTTTGAGATCTTGCATGTTTACATTTTATTTTGATTCTATATACTGTACAACAAGAAGAGCCACAGTAGCAACTTTTGCCATTTTAACATTACAATGCACTTTCAGAAAACCGTTCATTAAAATAGGTATAAACATTGCAGTATTTTATGCCTTTAAAAACATCACAAATCTACCTGCGAGACATTCGATTTTAAAACATGTAAATGCAGCATTGGAAATTTACCGATTTTTTTTGTATGCGAGGCATTTATTCAAGGACTCAAAATAAATAAACACTTTAATAAACCACTTGACAATCCACTTGGAAAAATGAACACGTGAAAAACAATTACATACACAAAAATCTGGTAATTTACAAGAATGTACCGTATATAAATATGAAATGAGACGAACAACTTTACCACAAGAGCATTACCATTTTAAAAAGGACCACAGGAGCCTTAATGAAGCGCTAATTCATCCGAAGCAAGCAGTTTTCTCATGCTTGGCAGCTGTAATCCCAGTTAATTTGCCTTTGCATAGGACGCATTTAAATCACAAATAAAGTACAACCCGTGCGATATGACAATGGCGAGTGACCACAACTGTGCTGGGTGGTGAAAGGGGCCAGGGTGAAGAAAATCGTTGCAAAAGGGAGACACCATCGCTTGTGCGGATGGGGTGGGGGTGAAAAAAAAACCCCCACAGAAACGAGAAGACAAGTAGATGGAGAAAGAGAGCGAGAGAGAGAGAGACAAAACACAGAGCCGACAACAGTTTATATGGTTGGAGAAAGGCAGCAACAGCACCGCGGGCGACACTGCGCGCAGCCGCTCCCGCAGGGAATTCCATTCGCATGGGTGGCACGCGCGTCTCCACTGCTGCCAGTCGCCTACGGCGCTGTGGGCGCCGTTCCCCAGTCCCCTGCTGACGCCAGCCCACAGCCTGCCGTGTTTTGGCCACTGATCCGTCGCGACGTCCGCCGTGCCAGCAAGCAGGAGGGCGCCCGGTGGCGCTCCGACGTCAAGCGCCCTCCCGTGCACTCGCGGAGACCGCCGACGAGGCTCGCATCGAGACCCCAAAGCCAAGTCTTTGTACGTAAACATGCCACCACATCTCTGCGAAGCGAAGCGAAACGCACGCAACCTAATGCACATCCGAGCAATTGACCTCACCTAAAGCACACAAATAAAGTCATGCACATCGAAAAAGGATGCAAATTACTACAATCATACACAAGCATCGCGCACTTTCAGGTCCGCTTCTGCGGCCGTCTGGAACGCTCTTCCTTATCGATAATAGGAAGCAACTGGAGCTATGCACGTTTAACTATATTGAAAGCTAATTTCTTTATAACTTATTTTTGTGTTTATTTGGTTGTCTTTCCCCCCCGCACTTTCGATTAGCACGATTGGTTACGTACGGTGCAAAAGAAGTTCAACATACATGCACAAACAAAATACACAAATAGATGGTAAACCCGGAACTCAATTTCAAACAACAATGTTGCAAATTGGAGTGTTGTTGGAGGATATCCAAAACTGCCAAGTGACAAAGTAAACCGTCATTCAGCACTCTCATTCTACAACAAAAACACTAATGCCAAACCAAACTGGAATTCGAGACGGACAATTAATTCAGGCGCAAACAACGACAAAACACACTTTACAAAAATACTATTTTACATTGTTTTTAGCCAAAACCCATAAATTACTCAAAAAAGTATCATAAAAAATCACAGAATTCTTATTCTGTGAAAGCTTCAAATCAAGATATAATTATTATCCTTATTGAAAACAAAACAAACAATATCAGAAATTCAAATCACAACTACTATAACCCGAGGAAAATTTCCCAATCCGCTGCTAAACTCGCTGAGTGACACTTCAGCATTTTGCTCCAGTATCATATACGAAGCACAGTAAACAACATCAATCAGGATAAACCCACAAATCCCAACACCTGCTCAACCTTCCTTACACGACACTCACCCCAGCAAAAGCACACTTGATGAATCTTTCATTACCCACCTGCTAAGATTCCAAGCACATTTAAAGCATCATACTACTGCTATAAAAAAAAAACTGCATTTGACATCAATGACCCAAATAGCTACAAACTTGTAATCTCATTTACCCTCCATTTCAAATATCCTGGAGAAATTGTTTTCTCACATCTTTCCCCATCACATCAATAGGAACAACCTTCTACATTGAAACGACGGTTGTTTCGCACGAACTTTTGCACAGAGAACAGCCATGATGCGTGAAACGAAGCACTTCAAAATATGGATAATGCCACACACACACTGCTATCATCCTCCGTCACCAGATAACGGCAGATTGGCACCGTACTCAAGGACTTTTACATCACAGAGTTCTCAGAGGGTTGACAAATTACGTAAAAACAACTTCACACCTCTATACTCACATTTAACAACCACACATCACCCCATTTTTTACATGTCCTCCAGAGATCCGCAGGGGCTCTACCACATGACCACTGTCTATTAACTTTTTGATGAAACCACTGCACACAAATAACTGCCCTTGGATTGCAACAATCACCGCTATGCAGACGACAAACCTCCCTATCACACCAGGATCCACGGATTAGTCATACAATAACCTCAGCTCTAAATGCTACCAAAACATGGCTTGCAAATAAATTTGTAAAACTAAAAGCGTGCGACAAAAACTTAGACTCCTCACAAACAACCGCCCAACAACAGAAGGGAGCAAGGTAAACGTCTCTACTTTAGCACACCTCTTGTCGATACAACCAACCACCGCAGTAAAAAAAAAGCCTTGGCATTACACTCGACTAGGAGTTCCCAAACTCAATTTCTCGCGATCCAGCACACGACGTATTTCCGCGTTTACCAATGTACCCCCGCGCCCCCATTCAAAACACAAATTCATGCTGTTCAACGCTTGCACGCCCGACGATTGTTTTTTTTTACAAGTATTTCACGCCGTCTACGTTAAAAACGGATTCCAATGAAGATCGAGAGATCTCAGCGTGTGCGTGTTGTACACGTGCTCCACGTGACACGGACAGCGTCAATGGCTGATCGCATCACAATGGGAAGTGTTTAACTTAGAACCACGTCTTTTGTGTGGGAACGGTGGTGATTGTGGGCGATTATTTTAAGTAACTTAAGAATCTTTTACGTGCTCACATTTTTTTTCCGCCCTTCAGGATTTTTATATTTATTTTAAAATATATTTATTTTTGTGCCGGTTTTTGTTGCTGCTGCTGCGTTCAATGGAACGTCGTCTTGGGTAGCACAGATCTTTGCCAGGAAGGCACCACAAAGTAAATATAGAAATACATCAAAACGGCGTGAAACTGGCAGCAACAAAGATACATTGAGCTCAATGTATTTTAGCGTCGTGATTGCTTTCTATCGCAACAAGTAACCCAAGCAATAAAACTACTGCCGCAGGTGCAGGTTGTAGACCGCGTGTTGTCCAACTGTTTTTGATTTGTGCTACGGGAATCTGTTCAGTTCCACTCCCAGCACGTGAAGCAAACGTCGGACCTCATGGCGAACAACACGCAGCACAACCCGAAAACGCAGAGCTAACCCAAGCATACGTTTTAGCAGCGATCCATTTTTAGAACTGCCTTCCTTCTGCCATTCCTTCTGCCCCTTGTACGCAACCTATTTAAGCGTTTTGGTTGAACCGTCGGTAAAGAAATACTGTTTGACATTTTTTCAAATACATCTGCATGCAAAGACACTTCTCCGGCATTAACAGCACCGTATTGGCCTCTTCCGCTCAAGCCCTTAATAATCGACGGCTCGAACTTTAAATGTTTCCCGATGCCCCTCTTCCTGCCAAGATGTTTCTTCTGCTGGCCTCTGCGTTTGCCGCCTCCTCGCCGCTTAGACCCGGTGTACTGCCGAAGGGTAGAATTCACCCGCACCTCATTTGTTTCCCAATGAACAAAGTTTTCATCACGGTTGCCAAAACCTCTCATGGATTTTCTGCCATGCTTTTGGTTATTTTTCCCGTGCCTCTGCTTGTTCTTGCGTGCGCCGCCTTTAATCGTGACACTGGGCTGAAGAATCTCTGGCTCCGTGGTTTTGGGAGGTGAACTCGTGCCGGTCCTAGCGGGCAACTGGTGGTTATGTTCGGTCGTGGTTGTAACCTCCAGTGGCTGGGCACTCATTGGCGCTGTGTCACCATCCGTGGGGTCAACGTTGTTCTCAACCTCACCGCTGACCTCAATTCCTTCATAGTCAAAATGTTTCTGATTTTGCACGTATGCCACAGGTAGCTCCTCATACTTCAAGCACCTAGAGAAAGAAATCAGTTATATCAGCAATGCTATGTCTGAAGTCTTTCACTACTCAATAATAGGTGATTTCACACATGCTGGCCATGGTCTTGCTCCAAAGTGCCTGTTTGTGTGTCGTGTATATTGTACATTTGAATAAAATGAGTCATTAAAATGTCAATTGTATTTCTTAATCACTGTAATACATATAAGATTATCAATTTGACATCTGGGTAGTAACAAATCATTACTTAACAATATTGGGTTAAGTGTTTGGCACAACAGCACTGAACCAAGCGATCGAGGTTCAAAATCTCGGCCGCGACGAACATCGTGACCAGTGATATTCTGAACCGGTCACGTGGACGCCCTTCCACCAACCCGCACTGACCAGCATGGTGAAGTATGGTTAAACAACCCCCATGACTGGCACGGCATGCAAAAGCCTTCAAAAAAAGTGCATCGACATTGGGCTGCAAATGACCATTATTATATTTAGTGCCATTGTGTAAAAAACACCAAGAAGTGAATACTGTAAATAAACAAAAATTTAACTGGCTATGATGGACACCAAATGTTTACCATTGAGATGTTCATTTCTACCGACAGGGGAATCAACAGATACCAAAACACATGCAATTTTAATATCTCGCATCAAAGTGGTCGGGTAGCGGCAAAACAACTTACTTCCCCCACCACATTCTCTCTGTGCACCTCTGCTCGTACTGAAAGGTGAAACACGGCATGCCTATGATGTTGAAGTAAGCCTGGCCCACGTTCCTGGATGCTGTGTTGTTGCAGTCGCGGAGACATCGTTTAAAACTGCCATCACACGAAAAGAATCAATGAAAAATGGAAAAAAAGTGCATTCGCCTTGTTTGAGAACACAGGTCTCTACAACGCAGCTTGACATCTCGCATCGGGCAATTTGCAAGTTGGGTAAGTTTCATTACATGAAAGAAACGTATGAGAAAAGTCTTATCCACAGTACGTTGTGATGTGTGCACGCCGAAAATGAATGTGTGGCCGGGATTACAGTTGTAGTCCGTACAGAAATTCAGTTGCACGATTGTAACATGTAAGTACTATCGTTTATTTATTTACAGCCGTTGTCATCCCACTGCTGGATGAAGGCCCCTCACATGCCATGTCGGTCATGGGGGTTGCTGACATATCCTTCACCACTCCCGATCAGTGCACGTTGGCGAACGGTCTACATTTACTACGGACGCACAATTAGTTAAGAAACTTCATAAGGACTGCATTTACCGGTTAGGGATAACGAATTTGCATTTACATGGCGCTGCTTAAATGGCTCGGCAGCTCAAAGCATCTTGCATCACACCACCTCTCAGCCATTCCAAATGCTCCTGCTGTATTCTAGCCGAGGGAACCCCCAGTGGCAGCTGTCCCTATGCTGCACGCAAGGTGTACACAGCAACCCCCTGCAGGTGGGCATTAGTCGGCCCGGGGGGGGGGGGGGGGATGTTGTGATTTATCCCCATTTGTAAGTCATTTGCAAGTCCTCTTACACGTGCTCAATTACATTCGGAGCAGTGAAAAGCAGAGAAATCCCATCTTTGACCATTAAGCGTTTCTCTGTTGAATGGTCATAATTCATAATAAAGGTTTTTTGGTTAGATCGCGTTATTTATAAATGTGTCGTAACCCTCCACCACCCGACACGGCCAAACAGTAAAAAATGTGTCACGTTTACAAAGGACAAATAGTTCACTACTTTAGCCCACCGGTGTGTTGAAGAGTGAATCAACATCATTTACAATTTGAGTACGACGTTTCGCTGGTAATTACATCCAGCTTCATCGGGTAATTTCCCAGAATGGTGAGGCTCTTTACTTGCTCCCGGTCTTAAACAGAGCAGCAGCAGGGTGACGTCATCATTTAATTCATTCAGGTGCAGTGATTTGAGGCGGAGAGGGGGAGGGTATTGTAATTTTATAATAGATTGGTAGTCATTGAAATTGTTATTCATTGGTATGTTTCCCTTATAAGGAATTGTAGTTGTATTATACATTTTATTTAATAATTGTCCGTGCGATGACTTGCACAATGGTTGAATTTTCAACATTGATTTGCAGTCACGTAATTACTCTGCGTTTACAATTGTTCGGATGCGTAAGCATCGTTTGTTACAACAATTTTTAAAAAAAATGGGTAGTTAAAAAACAACTGTGTGTCCAATGTGTGCATTCGTTGATCTGTTGCAATGCTGGAAAACAAAAAAAACATCATACATATGGTGTTGTTGTTTGTTTACGATAGCAGCACGGGGCCAAAGCAAACCAAGCAAAAGATTAGGGGCCCAGAATGGGTCAAGGGGCACGGAGTTATTAAATATTATGGGTGCATCAAATATGAGCTCAAAACGCAAATCCTGAACAAGATCAGGCGAATAAACATACAAGCCAATGGATATCTCTCATATCTAGCTGGTCTGCGTCTCTCCAATCTCGTCTCACGACATCTCTACACTTATCTTATCCTCACTACAATTACCGACTATAATCACCCAGGAATGTCTGTCCGTCCCGCGCGTGACGTCGCTCCACACGAGGCCCACCCCCGCGCGTGACGTCACTCCACATGAGGCCCACCCACCTCATGAATATTCATGAGTGAGTGGATTTTTACACTAACGCAGAGGAAGGTCGAGCTGAATTGAATAATTTATTACGCAAAGTCACTTCAAATATGACGTTGCTTTACAGAAAGTGACGGTAAAAAATAAATCTACGCAGCACAGTGCTACATCCGTGCGTGACGTCACTTCAAAAGAGGGCCCCCCCCCCTTCATTAATATTCATGTACGCGTGGAAATTTCCACGAACGCACAAGAAGGTCGCGCACTCCACATGCCGCACCCCTCCCCTCATTAATAATCATGAGCGGGTGACGTCACTCCACATGCCGCACCCCTCCACAATAACCATGAGGGGTGACGTCACTCCACATGCCGCACCCCTCTCCTCATTAATAATCATGAGCGGGTAACGTCACTCCATGCCGCACCCCTCCCCAATAACCATGAGGGGTGACGTCACTCCACATGCCGCACCCCTCTCCTCATTAATAATCATGAGCGGGTAACGTCACTCCATGCCGCACCCCTCCCCAATAACCATGAGGGGTGACGTCACTCCACATGGCACACCTCTCCCCTCATTAATAATCATGAGCGGGCAACGTCACTCCATGCTGCACCCCTCCCCAATAACCATGAGGGGTGACGTCACTCCACATGCCGCACCCCTCCCCTCCACAATAACCATGAGGGGTGACGTCACTCCACATGCCGCACCCCTCCACAATAACCATGAGGGGTGACGTCACTCCACATGCCGCACCCCTCCACAATAACCATGAGGGGTGACGTCACTCCACATGCCGCACTCCTCCCCAATAACCATGAGGGGTGACGTCACTCCACATGGGGAACCCCCCCCCCCCCCTCATTAATAATCATGAGCTGAACAATTATTTTTCTATTGAATATTTCAGATTTACTGCAAAATAAACACCCGTCCTTGGACGGGCAAAAAAGCTATTTTATATAATCTCCTTTGTCTATATCACCTTCTGTCAGCCCAGTAGGATTCTGTACATTTAAAAGGGGGGGGGGGGCGGGCAGGGTGGGTCGGGGGGCATGCAAAAAATAATTTCTGCAGCAGTATCAGCACCACGGGTCTTGGGCTACCTGGTGTCGCAGTCGCAGTGCAGGATGGTGTGCCAGCGGTAGTTGCGATAGCTGTACTTGTACTCAAAGGCGCCTATCAGGTGCGGGCAGTGGTCATGATCACGGCAGCAGCGGTCGGTATCGGCAAGTTCACCTGGAGGGCAAGGCAAAGATAAAGATTCTCCCCCCCCACCACCCTCCCTCCTCCTCCGTGTAGCCTGTAACAGACTGTTGGGGCAAGTGGTGCTGTTCGCGTGGAGCACCTATGAAGGTCGGGCACTTTGGCACACGAGAGGGTGGTGGGTGGCCAGCACCACGCCCGGCCGCCTTTGTCTCCCTAGTGACGATATTTACACACCGCACCAGGTGCTCATTTGAGGCTGAGTCGACCTAATGGAGGCCCCATGACCGATTCAGATCATCGTCGCTGGTGTTGGTCGATAAAATAAAATGTTGTAAATACCAATTGAATGTAACGTAAATCGAATTCGATGCTTCATTTTTTTTATGTTACGTTACAGCGAAACTACGTTTGCCATACGAGGGATGACTACACACTTACAGCTCAACTAACAGTACAGAAGTAATGATGTAGGAAATTAATCCGAATAATAATAACAGTAATACTTAGATTTTATGGTTGATAATTTTCTGCCTGTTAATACAATAATAAACTGCACCCCCCCCCCCCCACGTGGTCGTCATTTGACCATACTTCACCACACTGGGTTGGAAAAGGCAGGATTAGTTCAATGATGTTAGCCTCGACAGGGCATCAAAACGTTGGCCTCCTTGGCTCACAGCAAAGTGCACTAATCACTGTGCCATCACTAATTCTTAGTTTATGTTTTTGTTGTTGAACTTCCTCTTGCCTTGCGCACTACTTTCCACGTGTCAACAAAGCTCACAGTTTGCCAGCTCATAAAGATACCGTTAAACTTTTGCCTACTTAGATCGCTGGCGATACGGTCGTTCGCAAGCGCCTGGCAAAGTTAAAGCACGCGCCTTCAAACGGCACGGGGGCGAATGTATTGCGGGGTGACCACCTTTGTCCTCCGATCTTATAAAAACTTAGCAGCGTCGGGTTACTGTCGGCCGTAGCAAAAAATGCGTGGAGAGTTCGATGCCATGGGCGGTGCCGTGTGGATGCTAGAGTGGGCCGTGCATCAGCACATGTCCCGCTAACCAACCCAAGTTCACTCTGCTTGGGGAGGTGTCACTTTTATTATGGCGGGGCCAACATATCAGCTGTCATGCCACCAGCACCACCCCGCATCCCAAACGGACCCGGGTCCAGACGAGTAACAACAAGATAGCTGACACTAAGCGCTGGGATTAAAAAAGGGAAATATTTTAAAACATGGACAGACAAAGAATTACACGTGCGCGTGGAGCAGTGCCTTTTCGGGATGAGGCAGACACACAAAAGGAACACGTGGATGGGAAATCCTGACCACTCTTCGTCAACATTAATTGATCATCTGATGCATTTCATTGGCGATAGCGACAAAGGACGGCCAGGTGGACAAAGCGAATGCACTCCCCGCTTTCGACCTTTGTTAGAAAACGTTAACGAGTGAACTTGGGCCAGAACACGTCGCTGGTAGGGTCGATGACCCGGCGGTGGAGACTTACACGCAAGTGGGGTCCAAATAATGAAACATGACCGAGTTGTACGTGCGCCGTGGAGATAGAACGATGCAAAAATAATTTCGTGTGGAGGCGCTAAATGGCTTGTCCTGTACGTATGTTGAATTTCTTTCGCACCGTACGTAGCCAACAAGGCCGCGAGAAAAGGCGACGGGGCCAAGCGAGAGTTTTACCCGGCGGTGGATAGATCATGGCTGATGATCATATTGCATAGTCAACATTTTTTTAAGTTGAAGAGAGTTGATTTTCATCTGAATAATAGGTCGACAAAAAAGGGCTACGGCTGAGTAATTTTTTTTAAAATAAATAATGTGATTACTGCTAAATTTAGATTTTCGGCCATGGCTGACATCACACGGATCGGTATGGTGAAGTATGGTTTAAATAATCCGCGTGACTGACATGGCGTGGGGAAGCCTTCATCCAGCAGTGGATTGTCAAAAGGTTGTACACTAACATGTTATTATTGTAGTTTTACTGCCATGCACCTAGCTTCATTGCACGGTGCGCACATGTGCATCCGAATGGAGTCAGGAGAGAGTGACATCTCTTAATCCTGCAGTGACCTTAATCCAATTATATGCCACTGTTAAATAACGTTAGAAGTGGCCTAAGATAGCGAGTTGATGATCGAATTTTACATTTATATATTTACGGATGGAGATGATGTTATACGTCCAATGATGTTGACTGGTGGCGTTATGAATAGCGATGGGTGACCGATTAACGATGCTTCACAATTATGACGATCACAATGATTGCTTGACAACTGAACATCGATAACAGATGGCGATGACACTGATCTGTAGATATACTCATCGATTACAGGCTTTATAAACCAATGACACATTGATCTGTTGCTTCACATAAACCGATTAGTTTACGAATGGATTGATGGTGGATGAAGTTGTTTATAGAAGAGAGATGATTTTATTTACGGACTCGTCATGGATGTATATCCATATGTCCTATGGACATAGGACATATGGATGTCCTATGGACATATGGATTGCTCTGTATATGTATTATGTAGATGATGATGGTAATGAAGAGAACGCTCACTCACCCAGGTCGTCGTAACTGTTGGCGTTATTGCCCGCACCGCACCACATGGTGCCGGGAAAGATGAACCCCCTCCTGACCCTGCGTAGGGTCGCGTCCGCTCCGGGCTCCCCATCAGAGCCGCCGCCGCCGCTCATCAGACTCCCGGCTGAACCCGACGCCTCAAGGAATCTCCACGATGGGGCCGCGAAAAAATTGGAATAATTGGCGCTCCCGTTTTGAGCGTGAGGTCGGACGGGGGAGTCCAATTTGTCGTCGGCGGCGGCACTTTTGCCGAACGCATTTTCGAGCAAAAGTGTTGCAGAAGTGCCCGTGATGATGCCGGCACTGCTAACAACCATCAGCAGCAGCAACAGTTGCTGCTGAGTCATCATCATCATCATCAGCCGCAGCAGCAGCCGCAGCAGCCTTGTCTACTGCTGATACTGCGAGCGAAATAAGGTCGCGATGGAAGGTGGTGGCGATTGTTTTGTTCACGAGGAGGCGGAGCAAAGGTTCGCGGGCGACGCGTCTGCCTTGGGCTGCGAAGGAGTTCTGCGTATTTATAGCCGTGACGGCTCCTCCAGCGCCCGCTAGCCGAAGCTCCTGGATGTGTCAAACGGGCACGGCGTGGGGGGAGGGCGGGAGGGGAGGGAGACGAGGGAAGAACACGAGGAGGAAGGACACGGGGGGGAGAGGAGGGGGAGACACTCAAAGAATGTTAGGAGTTGACCCAACACGTTTCGTGCTGTTGGCTTGTCAACGTAAACACCGCAATGGATCGCATCGCGACGCACCTTGACGGGGAAAGTGCCTCCGTCGAATCATCCCGCGAGACGCGGACGTCCGCACGAAGCGCGCGGGGCGGCGTGGGGCTCTCGGCTCGTTCGTTACGCCCTCCCGATCAGCTCGCTCAAGTTTTTAACTTTTCCCTCCCCCCCCAACCCGGTTCGCGCGCCTGGATCAGAGGCGCGCGACATTGTTTCGGCGAGTCGTGATGCCCTTCGCGCGGCGAATCCCCCGGGGGGGGGGGGGGGGGGGGGTCCACGTCTCTCTGTGAGGACGGCTGTCTGTTTCGCGAGCCACGGCATTGTTCATTAAGCGCCGTCTCATACAAGACGGCGACGACGAGTGGATCGTTGTTGAAGGGAATATACACACTCGATTTACTTTCCTTACGTGGAAATATTTTACAATGCTATATCTTATGTGTGTACCGCGTTTTTTTTTTAAACGAGTGCCACTCTGCAAGCAGTCGAACGTTAACACGACATGGCGATTTGAGTGTTTGTTTATTTTTGCAACCTTGATCATTTTTGTTTGAATTGGCCATAGTGCAGACCTGCAATAAACAAAGAAATAAAAACCTGCCTCTGTTATATCTCCGCGCAGGAACCAAACGGCAGACGGTGATAGAGCCGAGACGTTCTGGAGGAGTTGTGGGTCCTGTACGTGGTTCAAACGTGGACCACGAGCAAACAAAAAAAACACATTCCTCGGGATTCTGGCAAAGTCTCAAGCCACCGTTGCGTGATTTATCTTCACCTGCGGGCGGATGTCGTGCACGGCCAGGAGGATCGTGTTGCGGTCATGGGCCACACGGACCCGATACGTACCGTTGATGGAATATTTCGCAATCCAATGTACAGGGTGCTTCAAATTTTTTTTTTTTACATTTATGAGAATTTGCAATAACGAGAAATGTGCCTCCGGGCTCTCGAGATCATCTCGAGAAAATTCCAGGCACGCGTTGACAATGATGTCGAATAAGTGGAGACTCTTCGACTTTTTTAAGCTATTAACATTACATTTGTTATCATGTTACAGTGTCGTATTATCCGTTCTTTTTGCTTTAAAAACTATAGTCCCATGTAAGTGTTCGCATTTTTTAAGCACCCTGTATATATAACGCATTTTTAATATTCGTCTCCTACAGGGGTATCAGAGCTTAGGGAGACGCCAGAGGGGGGGGGGGGGGTGGAGGAGTTGTGTAGGTTATTGAAACGGTTTATTGAAACATGAGGTTTAGACAGGTTTCCGTTGTACTGTAATTATGTCGTCTGTGTTGTGCACCTGACATCGTTTTGTTAATTAAATACTTTTGGGGAAGACAACAAGAAATGCACCTCGCGTAGAAAAAAAAAAATAGTAGTAATCGTCGACACACCTGCAGAAAAAAAGAATTAGAACCATATGATCCGAATTGTAAGACGCATCCCGCCCAAACTTGTGCCTGGTGTAAAAAAATATAGACAAATCTGGTCACAAAGATCCCCCGTCTAGCCTTAACAGACTGTTGGGGCAAGTGGTGTTAGCGAGCAGCATTTATGAAGGCCGGCATGGCACACGAGGAGGTTGGGTGGCCAGCACCATGCCCGACCGCCTTTGTCTCCCCAGTGGCGATGTTTACACACCGATCCAGGTACTCATTTGAGGCCGAGTCGACCAAGGGGAGGCCCACGACCGGTCCAAATAATAGTAACTGGTGTTGGTCGCGAGCGGGAATCGAACTCGCGAGCGGGAAACGAACTCGGATCGCCGAGTTCGTAGCGCAGCGCGCTAACCGTTACACCACCGCTCCACACACGCGCGCACGCACGCGCGCGTACTGATTACGAGACATCGCCCCGTAGCATCTCCTGTATTACAATACAGGGCAGGAGGGAGGTGCAATACATCAAAGCAGAGAATAGGTCACCGGTAATCACGGCCGTTATTTTACCCCACGAGACCATCGCTGCGTCTCCAGACGTATCTCCAGGAGGGGGTCGGTGTTGTGCCCAATTTCATGAATTATTGTTTTCCTTCGTGTAACGATGTAACGCTCAAAGTTCCACACAAATAGATTCAAAAACTGGTGCGCGTGTGCTCATATGTCTACATTCATTATATGCATTGTCACTGAGTAGACGTATTTGTAAATGAATGCCAATATATTGCATCTCACAATTACATATATATCACTGTCCTGCATGACATGTAAATGTTACATTAAAGTTGTATTTTTTCTATTCTGCGTTAGCATTAACGGTGGAACACAAGCACACGTTACCAAAAAAACAAAAACCCTTAGCACATACGTCAATAACACCGCTGTAAAAAAAAAATTGTTAATAGGGCGATGTTTCTGGCAATGGTGCTTCTGCATAGCATTGTGTTTATTATATCAGTAGTTTCTCAGTTGCTAAAAAAAACCAACGTCGTGATGTTCACCCCCTGTCCCCAATTAACCAAAGCAATACAGCCATGGCTCACAACGACTCGGGCTCCATGAATGTGTGATGAGATTATTCATAATGAGATGAAGACGCGATAAATAAACAAGTGCTGATATTTAATTAGGATGAGAGAGCTGGGAAAGTGGTGGAGGATGAGTGAGGGGGGGGGTAGAGATGAAAATTAGTACCGGAGACACAAAGGAGGGATGGCTGTTGGGGCTGGGGCGAGTTGGCGCGAAACGATTCCACAGGGGAAGTTTCTTCCCGAATAAACCGAGCGTGATGAGAGCAGGCGAAGGGGTTGGGCTACTTTGGCTCGGGATGACACCGTACTATGAAACGGGTATTAATATGCTAATAAGGACTCGCATGAACAAAAGCTTGGCATACAATACACGACTTAGCTGACTTTTCCCAGCTTAGACATGGGCTGTGAAAACACATAATGAACCAGACAGAATTCACTGCATCGATTCTACTTGCCAACAAGGTGATACATTAATTGTCAATAAGGTGATGCGAGTTCACGATGATAACGATGATGAATATTATCGAGGAAGGATATTATAGATGATGATTATGTATTTGGTATATATATTTTATAGATGATTGTGCTGATTAATGGTAATAATGATTGATTTAATAAGGTAGCTGAATAATGTTAATGATGGTGATAATCATCATTGTTACTAGTAGTTCGGATAACGAATAATAACGAATAATGGCTGTATATTGTATTGTATGTTATGATGATTGTGGCGAACTCTTTACACCCGTGCGTGTGTGGTGAGAATGTGGGCTGCGCTACAAACCCGGCGACCCGAGTTCGATTCCCGCTCACGGCCAACACCAGCGACGAATATCTGAACCGGTCCTGTGCCTCCCCCTAAGGTCGACTCGGCCTCAAATGCGTACCGAGTGCGGTGTAAAAACATCGCCACTCGGGAGACAAAGGCGGCCGGGCGTGGTGTTGGTCACCTACTCCCACGCGCGCCGTGTCGGCCTTCATAGGTGCTCGCTTTGTCCGTCAAAGGCTATTCGGGGGATCTTTGTCTTTGTAGTGAGAATGGTTAGTGTACATTTTGAGAATGTTATGAGATCGAAATAAATCACGCTCGCGTGGAGTGGGGACGGCGTTCACGCGCCCCTCTCGACCAATGCACCTCCGCGCTGCTGAATAATTATAATGTGCGGTCACGGCAGAAGGCATCGTGTTTCAGAATGAAACAAAGAAACTTATATATTTTTTTACATCAGCCCCCGAAAAACATAGAGTTCAATGTCGTCACGTGCGCTCACTTTATACAGTTTTCCATCCTGCTAAGATAGTCTGCGCGAGTCGTTGAGAAGTTTACATTGTTAGTACATACGGACAGCTACGCTTGTAGCTGTTTAAACTGCAATGATTCACGGGTGAAATGTGCATTGTTTTTGTTGATAATGTGGTGACGTAAAACAATGTTCACGCAACACAAATTCCTGTACAATTTTTTTTTAGTTGTTGAATCTCGTCCGTAGAGCGGTGGCGCCATGCTTAGCGCACTCGATTTCCGGCCGTGGATAACAAAGGTCGACGGCGAACGATAATTATCTGAACCGGTCCTGCATGGCTCCTCCATCCACCCCACCAGCGAGGTGAAGTATGGTCTAAACGACCCTTATTGGACGGCTCGACCTCGGGGAGGCATTTATCCAGAGGTGGATTGGCAAAGGTGCTGTGAGCGATCATTCTTATTACGACGCGCTACAATAAACACGGACAACTGCAAGAATCCCAAACGACGTTATGAAGCTGGATGAATAGGCATGCGAATTAAAACGATCGCTAGGGACATGCGTGTATTCATTAATTTACGCGCCCGTGCGTAATTCACGTTGTGGGGGGGGGGGGGGAATGGGCACGTGTTCTTACACGACACACGGTCCCTTGCTGAGTGGAAGTGTGTACTGTATGTTAAACACATTTGTGATTTTGGTGGCGGTGGATACACACACAAAAATAACAAAAATCGCATACGGATATACGCTTATAACACTGCCCTAAAATTGAGACGTTAACGTATTAATCTACGTGTCGGACAATGGCCCTTTTTCATAACACAACTGTGCAGACATCTAGAGCTACGCAGCGCGATGAAAAAACAACAACCGGCACGCACATCTCTGCGCGCCACGTCGAAGGGCCCTTGCCCGAAACGTCGCCTACGCTTTACTATTTTCCTTTCGCACGCAGCGTTATTCACGCTTGTGTGTCGAGTGTGTCGAGTTGTTGTTGGTATACACACGCTCGCCAAAGGGCTACCCCGTGTTGCGCGTGTCCTCGTGGACGAAGGGGGGGGGGGGGGGCGCCTTCGTGTTTATTCGATTTTATCGACGGCGGCGCTGTTCGCCACGC